ATTTTATTAAGATATAAAATCTAATTCTGATTTATTTTTTTACTTAAAACCATGTAACTAATTAAATGATTTACATGTTTACGGTTTTTTTAGAATTATTGAAGATCAGAAAGTATATTAAGAAAGTTTAGCCTTGTTATAGTTATGTTAGAAACATGCGGAGAAGAAACATTAGTTACAAAACTTTTTTTTAATTTGATAAAAGTTTAGGCTTCCATTAAATCGCAACAGATACAACAGTAATACAGTAAGCTAACTCAAAACAATGTTTATATATAAGAAAAAAAAAACTACTTTTAGTATTTTTAACTTCTGTTTTCCCTCCATCAAATTACATATAGTTACAAGTTCATACTATACTACAATAAAATATTGAAAATCACCACCCCTACTAATGGAGAAATAAATGCTAATCTCTTGCAAAGGTTAAATAACCAAATGTTTACTGTCTACTCATTTTGTTAAACAATTTGCCGTTTTAAACAAAATCTTCGCCTACAGCACATAAACTAAATTTGTATTTCTAAACAACGTTCTTTCTATGAGCAATCTAAAAAACCAATCAAAATGTAATAAATAAACTATGACCATTTTTTTTGTAATAAAAAATAACTTCCAAACTAAAAAATCACTTATTCATAAATTTGCTATATACTTAATTTACTACACAAAATTTAATTGCTACATTCTTTAAAATATTATTGTCTGAAGCTATGCTATTATAGAGCAATCCTTTTATAATCAATCAATCATTACCCCTATTGCAACCGAAAGCAAAAAATCCTTTTTTTTTGCCGACCTGACATCGGCTATGGTCAGCACGCTTGTGCCAAACTGAAATCTTTCGAATTTCGCTGACTAATTAGGTATAATATGCATCGCATAGCAAGAAATAATATTGCTATAGAGAGTAACTATCTTGAAGAATCACTATATATTATTGCTTAACTTAACGCTGTTGCCTAATTGTGCGCATTTACACAGAGTTTTATAAGCATGCTTTGCCTTTTAATATTTCTCTTTATATATTTTTGACCACACGATTCATCGTGTGAATAAGGACTCTTAAATCTAAATAATCTGTTAATATCTGTTTAATCAGTAATAAGATCAAAAACTTTGCTTCATCAGCTTAATTAGTAATAAGATCAACAATTTTTTAATTTGATGATTTATGTAGCAAATGATTTTGTAAAGAAGTAAGAGTAAAGTAAACCTAATGTTTATGTAATAGTAAAGAAAACTTATGTTATTTTTAAATTAGTATAGTAACTTTTGAAGTCAGATAATTTATTTAATTCATGCATTATGAAAATAACTTAATTCAAGTCCTTAGTCACTTGTATTTAAAGTATATTATTCTGTAATTTTAACTTTTAAATTAGAAGATGATAGCTCTAGAAGACGTTGCTCTTTTCAAAGGTCAAGAGGTCAAACTCTTAAAGTTAGTGTTCATCTCCAAAATCCTTGCATCTCACACCCTCAACTCTATGTTACATGTTAAAGAACAAGATCATTTTATACCATATTTTAAAGAAGTTAAAAAAAATCAGTTTGTTTTATAATATAAAAAACCAGGTCGTTTGATTGTTTCTTTTTTAAAGTTGTTAAACATTTATTACAAGGTATGTTATTAAACAAATATTACAAAAACAAGATTGTATTTGTAAAGTTTCTAACTTAATTTATCTATTTATTTATACTTGTGTGTTATTTATTATATGTTTATGTGTGTTGAGGTTATAATATAACCTCAACACACTTCGTATATAAAAGATATTAACACACAAAATATAAACCCATATAATCTATATGAATTTATATTTTGTAAGTGTGTAAAAATTATTTATATATGAAGTGTTTCTATGTTTGTGATGTGTTATAATGTTATGTATTTAGTTTGTAAGTGGTTATTATGTTTTTTACATAATTTCAAATTGTTGAGACTTAGCGTAGTTTACAGCAAGAATGTTGACCTTGCTGGCCAAGTGGGGTACTTTGCTATAATGTGACTTGGCTTTGTTGAGAACAAGAATGTTGTTTGTGCCAGTAAAGTGGCATACTGTCATGATGAAATACATAAATTAAATCTGATTGTAGTTAGTGTAATCATAAAATATGTTTAAAAAATATTGTTGAAAGAATGTGTTTCAAGAAAACTCAAAGTTTAATCTAAAAATAAAAGTTTAATTTTTATTATTTTAAGCATCATTATTACACACTCCTTTGATCCTTAATAATTTCTGATATTTTGTGAAAATATTAGACTTACTCAAAATAAAAGAAACCAAGTTAGGCTGTCAAAATAAAAGAGATGAACCTAGGCGAGCTGAGATAAATTGTCGTCAAAATAAAAGAGATGAGCCTAGGCGAACTGAGATAAATTGTAATCAAAATGAAAGAAATCAGGCTAGGCAAGAACTCAATAGGTATAATATGCATCACATAACAAATTTAGTTATTTTTAGTTCTACTCAGGTGCTTTACCAACTACCATAGGTTTACTTTGTCTACTGTTAAAATATGATTTTAACATAGTAAACTTTAATTATTCTAAATTTGCTAAGTTGATCATTAGCTAATAGTTTAAAAGGAAATTAGTTGAAAGTTTCGTTGGTACTGGGGCTTTGTCAGTATTATCGTTTGTTTCAATTGTATCATCAGCTCAAACGATTGATTCAAGGGGAACCCCTCTTTATTCAAATATATAAAATATATATTTTATTTTAAGCCTTCGAGTAAAATAAAAATTTGAAAAAAGATCAATGATTAAAAGTTACAAGTAATGTAACAATTTTTTTTATTGCATTTAAATTAAAACATCAAAACAGCTCTTGTCAAATTGTAAAGAAAAAAAAAAAAGCATTGTCAGTTACAGCGTGAAATTTAAATCTAAAAAACATACAATATTAAATTGAAACTACTTTATTAAAAAACAAAAATCTGCGATGAAATATTCTTAATAATAATAAAAGAAACTATAATTTCACTAAACTAACGTTAAAATAAACTGTATAACATGACAAAGATTTCCATTGTATAACTCAGTTCCTTAAAACCATAAAAACTATACTTTAAAAATTTGATTGGACACTGTCCAACCCAAACATGTTTTGATTGGACATTTTGTCCGGGACTTTATAAAAAATTAAATTGGGCCCTGCTGATATTTTGTTACTACAATAGTTCCCTCTGTAAACGCATTTAAAGAATAAACCACTACTTTAAGTGAACCATTTTCTAAAAAAATTAATTTTTTTCTTAAACAAACCTTACCCCATATTTTAATTACTATTTCATATTTTTCTATGTATGCGATAATTGCTTCTTTTCCCCATGAAAGAAAAGTTTTTAAGCTTTTTAAATATTGGTTTAAAAAAGTCCGCATAATATATGCCACAATCTACAGACTTGATAATTTATTAAAGTACATTTTATTCCTAAGAGTTTCAGTACATGATGTCATTATTTTTTTTTTTTTATGTTTTCAAAAGAGATCAATTATGTAAACAAACAAAAAAGTCAATAACGTCCAGGCTTGGATAGGAATGGCGTATAATCGCACGCTGTAACTGACCATGCTTATAATATTTTTTCTTTACAAATTGACCATGGCGGTTTTGATTTTACAACTTAAATGGTATTTTAAAAATTGTTACATTATAAATAACTTTAAATCGTTGATCTTTTCTAAAATTTATTTTACATGAAGGCTTTAAATTAAACAAAAAAGCAATTATAGTGATTGTTTGAAATAAACATGTTTTGTGTAAATTAAAAAAAAAAGTTATATTTGAATTTTTTTTTAAGATAAATTTAAATATAATAATTTGTCTGAAATTATTTTTCCATGTCTTCTATTGAAAGATAATTTTTTACTTTATTAATTACTTAATTTTTATTTAATAAAATAATTTTATTTAATAAAATAGTTTTATTTAATAAAATTACCTAATTTTTTACTTTAAATTATGAATAAGTTAAACTAAATCTTCTGATGCAATGAATGATTTAATTGCTTTATTTATTTATTATTTTTGTTTGTTTGTTTCTATTTTTACAAAGAATAATTTTAAGCTCTTTTTTTCAACTTGACAAACTATAATAAGAGCATGAAACGATTAAAAATTACATATTAAATAGACTACAGTATTTTTTTAAACAATTACTTTTTGCAACTTTTTGAAAAAAATAAATGTTTATACAATATAAAAATAATGTATATAACACTTTTTAGAAATTTAAATAAAATTTGTTCGTTCATTAAACAATCATTAGAAGTAATTTGTAAAAATGTTTTGCGTAATTTTAAAAACATTTCAAAAGATAAATTTTTAAGTAATTTATTTTAAACGCAATTAAAAATGTAACAAAAAGTAATTTTTACTTCAAGTTTGAGTTTTTTGAGTTTTATTTTAGTACTAATATATTTTATTTTGCGTATTTTAATGTATTGTTTTTTTTTGTTTTTTTTTATTAATTTAAGTTTTGCTATCATTTCTTTTTTAACGCAATTCTAAAATGTTAAAAAATCATTTAAAACTAAACAGTCATGGTAAAGTTGTCAAAAAATAAAATCAATTGCATAATCAGCAATAGCACTCATTAGCATGTCATTCCTGTCCAAGCTTGGACGTCATATACTAAAACTCTTTGGAATAAAACGTGCTTAAATAACTTATCAGGTCTGTAGATTGCCCCGTATATTATGCTGACTTTTTGGCCAACAATAAAACGGAGATGGCGAGCTTCGACTAAAATGAAAAAGTTAGTTTTTTATAGTATTCATTTATTCTTTTGTTTTAATCAAAAAAAATTTAGCCCAAACATTCTTTTTTTATCATTCTCTTTAATATGAACATAACATGTCTCAGAGGTTTGGGATCCCTTTAATAAATCAATCAATTTAATAGTTGCAATTTCAAAGACATTTAATAATAACATGTTAAATATAGAAAAAGTATATTTACTTATAATAATACAAAACTAAAACAAAATACCTTTGAATTTTCTATAGAAGGAAATTTCTTGACAATAACTTTTAATGCTGGTTCTAAATTTTTGTCGTTTAAGAACGCTGGTCGAGACTTTGGGTCAGAACATGCCTGTAATAGAATACGTACATAAAACATGCATACATACATACATATGTAAATACATACATCCATGCATGCATGCATGCATGCATCCATACATACATACGTACATACATACATATATGCATACGTACATACATACACACATACATACATACATACATACATACATACATACATACATACATACATACATACATACATACATACATACATACATACATACACACATAAATATATATACATAGAGACACTTGATCAATATTGCTGTAATAATAGCAAACCTTTTTAATGTTATATATACGAGTGATCATCCCCTGTCCATGGTCATTTAAAATTATCAACTTTTCAGCTAATTTTTGTTCAGAAGTTGTCATCACATGATCCATGTTTATTACAATTTAACAGACGCAATCTTTTTGTTTTATATAATTAGTAATGAAACCTAAAAAAAGGAATAACTAATGTGATATAAACAAAGTTTTATTCCCATAACTTCTATAACATTATCTAAGTAAACTTTTATCTAATTTATGAAGTAACTAGCCGTACATGCACCTATTTGCAATTATATAACAACCATTTATGATCATTTCAAACTGCTATTTTCGGTTGAACAAAGAAACAATAAAAAAATGATTAGTCTCTTTATAACTTATAAATTTTTAATATGGAATTTAATGTCCTGCCATTACTCATTTGTGCATGTTTACACAGAACTCACAGCAGCCATTGCAAGGTAATGTCAAGAAAGAGTCAGCACTTTTTGTATGAGAAAATGTGAACAAAAGTATATGCAAATATCTAACTTGTATAAACTTCAAATTATGAATGTTAAAACATATATCAAGTTTTACAGCTTTACTTTTACTACATTATTACATTTATTTGTGGCTTTATAAAGTTTTTTGTTTATTGAACAATGTTAAAAAATTCTTCAAACTGTAAGCCTTAGTTACTGAAGTAGTTAGCTTACAGCATTTTAAATTGAAATGCTGTAGTTCAAATCCCTGCGCTTTCACATTTTTTAAAATCTTTTTTCGCCTTTTAAACGTACAAAATAAAACATTATTTTAGTTATATAGATATTTTTACTTTTATAAACATTTATTTTTGTTTAAAAATTGCATTGCGACAAAATCTTCCTAATTTTGATATACAGCATTTATTTGACATTTCATAAAGTTATTCACAATAGAAAAACTTAGTTTTGAATGCAAGAAAGTTTCAAAATATTAAAGCCAAGTAACTGTATAGTTATTCAGTAACTTAATATTATGATGTTGTCTGATATCATCAGCATAGATATTTGTTAATAATAATATTAAGATGTCTGATATCATCAGCATAGATATTTGTAGTTAAATAAATTATTAAACAAAGTTAAACTTTTATAGTTTTGTTATGTAGTTTACTGTAGAGTAACATTGAATTTTTGATGTTTAACTGTTTTCTAAATTTTAAATTTTTTCGCTTAACTTGTTCAAATGTTTAACTTAGTTCTTAGAAAACTATTATTCAAATTTTAAAAAGGTTGTAGCATCTAATAATGTAAAACTTACTCTGTTGTAATTTTAGATCAATTTTATATTGACTGAAGAATTAAATTTTTCAAGAACAAAATTATTTACCAATAATTTTTTTACAACAAAAAGATATTAAAACATTATTTGAAGTAAAAATTCACATTATGTTATTACAAGTCTTATGATAAAGCATCAAGTGTAAAACATTTAACTTATGTGAATACCAACTTTATGTTAAACTACACTATTTACAAAAGCTCAAACTACAGATAAATAAAATATGCTAATCATTTATAAATCTAATAACTTTAGATATAAAAAAAACCCAACTTTTTTATCAAAATAATCAAAATATGCAGCTACAGAAAAAAAACTTGTCAATTATTTTAATATGATACAAATAAACAAAAAAAAAAATTGCATAAGCAAAATAATCCATCAAACATGTTAATATTTATTTAGACTATGTTAGTTTTATAAGTTACATTTGTTCAGGTATTGGAAATACAGAAATAACTGTTTCTTAAATTGCTAAATCTCATATTATTCTTTAGGTGGTGATATTATTTCCAACATCTATTTTAATTATTTTAAGGATTTTTTAAATATAGATTTATTTAATTTTGATAATTTGATAAAGAAAATCATAAAAATGTTTGATTTGATTTTATAAAGCCTGTTGGCAAAATTGATTTATGCTTTAAATGCTAAAAAAAAAATTATGAAGTACTATACCACAAAGATTTATACATTGTCTGTATAACAAAATTTGTGGTATATTTTAGCATAATTTACATTATAACCTATAATGTAAAATATGCTAAAATATAACACAAAATTTGTTATACAGACAATGCATAAATCTTTGTGTTATAGAACTTCATACTTTTTTTATAATTTATAAGCTATTTTGGCTTTTTATGCACAAATCAGTTTTGCCAACTTTCACCTGATATCAAAATCACATCACATATAAATAGATAATAAAAAATGTAAAATGTATAAATTTAATAAAATGTATCTAATAAAGTAAATGCTATTCTGAAAGTTTTAAGATATCTCAGTTAACTTAAGAAAGTAAATTGAAAATTTATCATAACGCTACTATTACTAACAACAACAATAATAATTTTAAAATATATTAAAAAAATCAATCAATTTTCAGTGTAATTATTAAACCTTATTTACAATTTAAAAGTATAAAGTTTAACTATCATTTTAATGTGATGCAGTTCAATAAACAATATAGAGTTAAATTGATAAACCGTGTTTAGCTCATTAATTCTGTGATTTTCTAGCTACTCTATAATTTTCTTGCTTGATTATCAGTCACTTAGTTTTCATACAGTTTATTGCAGAACTTCTACTTTAGCATTTTTATGTCATTATTTTATTATAGTTGATTATTATTTGACAAGACAAAAAAATTCATATTTGTAAAAACTTTAAAAGTGTGATTTTATAAATATCTTTTTATAGTAAACACATAATGATTTTATGAGTAATAATTCTTTACTGTAAAACAAAAAGTAAATGCATTAATTTAAACAAAATTAGCTAATGAACTATAAGTAGGTGAGATAAAACAGCTGGCACAACCCTGGGAGAAAAAAAACTTTTTACAAAAAAATCGCAGTACTTCAATGATTGCAATATTTATTTTATACTCCATTATTAAACAAAAATTTGAAAAACAATCATACCATTGTTCGTGTATTTAAAAAAAATAAACGAACAAGATTGATTTCTGTTTATTTCATACAACTACTTTTATTTAACTTATATAAATAAACAAGCATTTAAGTATTTTTTTTTTTTGTGCGTGATTGTGTCTGCGTAAATCATACTGTTTTTCGGATGCGTTTGAAACAAGGTTTTTGGAGGGTAACAAAGCTATTCTCAAAAAAGGGTGGGGCAAAGTAAATTTTCTTGCAGCAGATATTGTATTTAGCATCCACATTAAAAAATTGTTTGAACTGCTCCGACTGCTTCACCTCTTTCCTAACTATAAAATTTAAAAACTAACTAGCGCACACAATTTGAAAGGGAACAAACTGCTTAATGAGCTTAATAGGCAAGAAAAAAACATACAAATAAATAAAGAAAGAAAACGTTTAAAAAAAAAACTTTGATAATCGCAATTTGATTTTGATACGTTTAATTTATATTACTTTTTTAAACATAGCATTTACTATACTACTTAGTATTTATCTATTTTAAACATACCGTCAACCGGGGTAACTCCGGATGATTTTAGAAAAATGTTTGACTGTTTCTTTAAAAGCAATTCAAAATGCTTCATTTTGTGTTAATCAAACACTCTAATAATGATGAACATAAAGAGATACTGGTTTTAAGCTCTTCTATGGATTATTACCTTAAATAAACGGTTTGAAAATCAAAAAATCAATTTCGGAAAACGGGGTAACTCCGGACGCTTAATGAAAGGATTTTAAAAGTTGAATTTCGAACTTCAATGAGTTCAGCATTATCTAAGTAACATGTAGCTTAGTAGCATGTATCTTACTATGGCAAAAAGCTGTTTCATTTAAAGAGAACAGTCCTATTTTATATAACAGAACAAAAACAAAACTATTGATAAACTAATAATTTATTACAAATTTCAAATAATAAATAATAGTTAAGAACCAATATTTTTTATTAGGATTATACATTTAAATTACTCATTACTGTAAAGTGAAAAATACAGAAGTCATTTTGCCTTTAAAAAAAATACAAGACAAACTATTGTTTTTGGCATACAATGCACTCAATCGGCATAGCATCTTCCAAACACTTTGAATGATACCAACGACCGCAACGTTCACAGCCTGTCTAATCAACTGAAACTTCCTCTTCTTCTTCAATGATTTCACCGGTTTCTTCGTCGTCTTCTTTACCACAGATGAAATAAATATCAGTGTCATTATCTGCAACAACATTTAAAACTGCCCCTGATGCAATGTTTAACTTATTACCCCTGGGTTTTTTTGTTTCATATGCGCCACAATTAGACATTAACAAAGTTGTTACTGAATCGTTTAAAATAGTTTTTGTCGATGCTCCTGGTGTCTGGAACTCTGGCATCTTTACCCCGGTTACCCCGGTTGACGGTACTATTTAGTTTATGTAACCATTATATAAATAATAGCTTTTTTTATTATTATTATTTTTTTTGTAATTTAAATTTTTAATAGATTTCAATAAATAAATTTGTAACTAACAGTGTATGTTTTGCACAGTTATTGCGAAGATGGTATAAAATGTTACTTCAAAATTTTAATTAAAAATCGGAAAAATTTTAATTAAAAAAAAGTTTTCCTAAAAATTGTGTAATAATTTCATAACAATTTTTGCACTTCAAAAAGATAAAAGTAATTTGAAAAAAAATAATTTAAAGCTTTTTATGAAAAGCCTTGTTTTAATTTTTTATGTTTATATTCCAATCAAAAAATTTTCAGCTCAAATTTAAATTTAAAAAAATAGACAACTTTCTAACAAAAAATGCACAGGCTCGGAATTTTTTGTAACATTTCAAGAAACATTTAATCGATTTTGATAATTTTTGTTTGTTTGTTTTAAAAACAAGTTTATCTCCAAATACAGAAATGCTTTTAAAAAAAAATCTTCTTTGAGCTGATCACAATATTTTCTCAATTTAGTGCGGATAGCTCGCGTGTGTTTTTAGACGACAGTTTTGTAAAACTTAGTAAAGTAACATCCCTAATTTGGTGGAACTAATTGATGTCTGCCGCAATTTTACCATCTTAAACTCACGTTGTATGTTTGCAAAAAAAAAATTTAATAGACAACGTCGTGGCATGTTTGCTTGGTTCATATTTTTGGATAAAAATGGCACCATTTTTTGATACCATTCGTATACATTTATTTAAAAATTTCTATTTAATGGCAAGATGCAAAATCAGGCC